GTAGAAATGATTTATTCACCCTCATGATGTTCAAAATGCACTTATATTTTTCAGTGGAAAACAACCACAAATATTTTGTGAAAACTTTGATATATTCTTTTTCAAGATTCTTTGTTAATAATAATAAATGTTTCTCAAGAACTGAATCAGCATATTAGAATGAATTCTGAAGAATCAGGTGACACTGAAGACATCACAGAAATGTCAAATAAAAAAAACGAAATTATAATAATTCACAAAGAGTTAGTAAATAATTAAATTTTTAATATTTTTTGCTGAGTTATTCATTAATTTGTATGTAATTTCTTTCTAGATGATCTGGACATTGTGGGAATATTCCTGAAGGTTTTAGGTGGAGTGGCAGCATTTATATTTGTCATTGTGGGGATCTGTCAGATTCAGAAAAGTGGCTACTGTTCCTGCAAAGACCACACGGAAACCAAGTGAGTAAAAACCATAACCACAAAATGAACCTTAAGGGCTGATCTGATTTGATCTGGAATTGCATGCACTTTTAGTAAGATTGCAATGCTCTGTTTCATACAGTTACAAAGTACCCCAACATGACAACAGGATGGACTACGCCAGTCCAGATGAGGTAAGGCTGTGTGGATTTGTGACGTGATAAAGCACCACAGATATCGTTTTCATGCATTAGTGCACGTTTAGAGGCTGTAGTCAACACTTTGAAATGTTCTTACAAGGATGGATGAAATATCATCCAAGATTTGTTATTGTTTATCTTCTCAGATTACACCGCAGCGTTTCTCTGACTGCAGATATTTTCTTTTTATTAATGCTAGCAAAACTTAAAGTGGTGTTAGTGCAATCTTCAAAATAATCTCTTAGTAAAATCTCTACATGGAAAAAATATTCAGCTGGATTTTTGTTTTGCTTCTGTAGTGCCATATTTTAACTACATATCATGTGCCTGCTCTCTGTTTTTCAGGGACATTTCCGCCACAAGTCCTCCTTTGTCATTTAAAAATCAAAGAAGAGAAGACGAGCACTTCAATCGTGTGAATGCCTTGTGAGTTGACTTTTGAACTGTCAAACTGTGGATTTTACGCAGAGGTGCGACTTGAGCTTCATGGCTTGCCAAAGTAATTACAAAAACGAGAACTACTGTGTTAAACAGGGAATTTTTACTCCCCTTATTTTGATTTAAACAGACAGGAATCAAACACAGGTTTACTTAAAACTCCACAGTTTGTATATAAAAATGACGTTCAGTCGAACAACACTAAGATTTATAGCTATTACATGCATCTTGTTCAGTAAAAAAATCATTGTTTCAGCAAATCAAAAAGGACTGAACTTAAGAAGTAACATAAAAGATTAGGTTTTTCCAAATAATTGTGAATTTCTGAATGGCAGTTGCACTTCAAATTGTAGCAAGGCTGAAACTGCATCCAGGTGCTGCTGTATTTATGTCCAAAAGTAGTCAACACATAATACCAGTGCAAGAATTTACATGTCTTCAAGGTAAATTTTATATTTCCCACTGGAAATATAGTGTGTGGCTATGTCAGCGGTGGCGAACGCCGGTCCTGGAGAGCCGCAGCCCTGCAGAGTTCATTGTTTCAGCAAATCAAAAAGGACTGAACTTAAGAAGTAACATAAAAGATGAGGTTTTTCCAAATAATTGTGAATTTCTGAATGGCAGTTGCACTTCAAATTGTAGCAAGGCTGAAACTGCATCCAGGTGCTGCTGTATTTATGTCCAAAAGTAGTCAACACATAATACCAGTGCAAGAATTGACATGTCTTCAAGGTAAATTTTATATTTCCCGCTGGAAATATAGTGTGTGACTATGTGAAGAATCCTGTCAGTGTAAATGTGTACACTGCCATGCCAAGACTTTTATCTGGGTCATTTTGAGAAGAGGATTGTATGTGTTAGTGTTTCAGTAGTAGTTATTGAGTTGATGAGCTATACATTTGTAGCATTTTAGTTTGAGATTTAATCAAACATCTCCGTAAAGTCAGTAGACTTGGTTGTGCAAGATGATTCATTTACTTAGTTTCATTTTTTAAATATTCCTCTAGATACAGATTACGCACTTGTGGGTTTTTCAGAGTGCCATTTCTGTGTTTAAGTGACCTTCAATGCTTTATAATTGTTTTATACGTTTTGGACATATTGTCCAGGTTTATTGACTCAGTGTTATTGTTTTAATCTATTTATAATATCTAGGTATATTGTAGTTCACTCCAGAGTAGTAGTTAGACTGTGGGCCGTGTCACAAGAATAAAACTGATCATGTGGAAGCAATCAACATTGTCTATCCATTCATTTTGTTTTTAAAACATGTAGCTATATATGTAATTGGACCATCAAATTTACTTTTTTCCCCACTTTTTATAAGTAACTTAATGCACTATGACAATATATATTAATCTTCCTCATGGCATGTCCCACTGTCTAAAAACAGTTTGGCAGACTGTTTATAGAAAAACAAATGAAAAAGAAAAACTGGGTTCGATCTTAATAAAATTGTCTAATTTAATGAATAGGCGAATCTAAGAGAAGTCAAATTTAAATCTCCTGTCAGATTGGGGCCAGATACTGTATATTCCAATATATAAACAAATGTAAAAACAGTATCATATCAAATTATTCAAAGTGTTTGATGGCAAAACATTTTATTGTAACTTTTTGTTTAAGGCTCAGTGTTAAATGATGTTTACATATTCATACTATCGACTGCCAGTCAATGGACAAAGAGAAGCTAAATTAGATGTAGTTAAGCAGTTAATAATGAACTCACACTCTTAAAAATAGAGGTTCTTTATTTATATGTGGTTCCATGAAGAACGGAACCTTTCCATTCCACAAACAGTTCTTTTTACACCAAGAAAAAAAAAGTTATTTTAAGAAACTGAAAGGTTGTTTGGGGCCCAAAATAGTTTCTCACTGGCATCACTACAAAAACCTCCTTCTGGAACTTTTATTTTTAAGAGTGCTGGTGATGCTCAGCCACAATATTTCCAAACAATTCTGTATTTGACTTTATACTACAACAAATACTATATGAAATTACCTGACATTCCAGCTGTGGTTAAATGTTGAATGTATATCCTTAATATTTAAAGTTACACTGCAAAAAGTATTCTTTTCTTAATCAATATTTGTTTTCTTGACAAAATGTTTTTTCTTGTTTTAAGCATAAACCTAACAAAATTTAGTGAAGTTTATGCATAAAATATGTCTTTAAAAAAAATTCAAGACGTTTTTTCAAGATGTTTTGATATATTTTACTGCAAAGCGAGAAAAATATTGATTTAGAATTTTTTTTTTTTTTGCAGTGTGTCATTATAAGGAAATTTGTCATATGTTAAACTGTTGTCCAATTATTTTTGTATTATCTTTAATGTGTGGTTTGTGCGATGTGAAATCAAAACACATTATTAGAGATGAAATCTGAATAGCATTACCACCAAGATGTTTAATTCTTTACGCCACCACACTATTGTACGATCAATAAATAATCCATTATATTATGCTTAGATTATAATATTCTCAGGTACAGTTAAAAGAAGTGACCATGTATGTGTACAGTAGATGTGGTCATGTAATCGGTTTTCGTTTACCGTTGTTATTTAATAATAAAGAAATTCTTCTATTAAATAATCACATCATTATTGTTTCCCAATCTCAGAGCTGCAGCGACTTTTATTATGAAATAAACTGGAACTTTTATTTTGAAATTACCCCTGCAGGAAGATCCAGGAAGTGCGGGAGTTATTTTATGGGCAAATATCCTTCCTGACTGCTGTCCTGCTCTAAATTGAGCTACTTTAATTAAACCAGACCGAAATATGCATTAGATTTCGAGCATAATATATTGATATCTCCACTTAATCGCGGATTTTTTTAAAAACAGTCAAATAGCGTATGCGCTCGGTTTTGAAGGCCACTTGGTAAAAGGTAACCATCAGAGCGCTAGAGAACCTGTAGCTGCTGTCAATCAGCTGATCTATGATCGTACAGCTCTGACACTCGTCCATCAGACATGAGCTTCTTCGGCTTCGGACAGACCGCCGAGATCGACATTGTGTTGAATGACGCCGAGACCAGGAGGAAAGCTGAGCACAAAACTGAAGATGGCAAAAAGGACAAATATTTCCTTTTCTACGATGGTGAAACTGTAAGTGGGAAAGTTAACGTGACCCTGAAGACTCCTGGAAAGAGGCTGGAGCACAATGGGATCAAAATCGAGTTCGTCGGACAGATTGGTGAGTTGTCCGTCTGTGAATGGACGTTTAGAAACAGTCCTGCTCGTGTTTATGTATATATAAGCATGTCCTGTGATTCACAGAGCTGTACTATGACAGAGGGAACCACCATGAGTTTGTGTCGTTAGTGAAGGATCTTGCACGACCTGGTGAGCTTTCACAGTCCCAGACCTTTGACTTTGAGTTCACCCATGTGGAAAAGCCCTATGAATCTTACACTGGCCAGAATGTCAAACTGAGGTAAATCTATCAGTTGCTTCATTACTAAGGTTACTAATCAGTCAGAAAGCATTTACAACTGGTGCTTGGAGTAAAGCTGTAGTTAGTGTTGCTTCTGTAAACACAGAAAATGATGGGATATATTGTCATACACACTTACCAGTCAAAGGTTTTGAACAGTAAGATTTTTTCTGTTTTTTAAAGAAGTCTCTTCTGCTCACCGAGCCTGCATTTATTTGATCCAAAATTCAGCAAAAGCAGTAATATTGTGAAATATTTTACTATTTATAATAACTGCTTTCTATTTAAAAATGTAATGTATTCCTGTGATCAAAGCTACATTTTCTGTATCATTACTGCAGTCTTCAGTGTCACATGATCCTTCAGAAATCATTCTAATTTGCTGTTCAAGAAACATTTTTTATTATTATTATCAATATTCAAAACAGTTGAGTACATTTTTTTTCAGTATCCTTTGATGAATAGAAAGAGCCAAAGATCAGCATTTATCTGAAATAAAAAGCTTGTAACATTATACACGATACCATTCAAAAGCTTGGAGTCAGTAATATATATAATATATATATATATAAAATTGTTTTTCTTTTGAGGGGGGGGGGGGGATTAAAGTATTAATTTTTTAATTAAAGTATTAATTTTATAGAAATTAATACTTTTATTTAGCAAGGATGCTTTAAATTGATGGCAAAAATAGCAGCAAATCAGAATATAAGAATGATTTCTGAAGGATCATGTGACACTGAAGACTGGAGTAATGATGCTAAAAATTCAGCTTTGAAATCACAGGAATACATTACATTTTAAAATATATTAAAATAGAAAACAATTATTTAAAATAGTAAAAATATTTCAAAATGTTACTGTTTTTACTGTACTTTGGATTAAATAAATGCAGGCTTGGTGCGCAGAAGAGACTTCTTTAAAAAACATAAAAAATCTTACTGTTCAAAAACTTTTGACTGGTAGTGTACAACAATATAGCAGCATGGAGTCAGTACCCGAATGTACAGTGTGTAAAGTGTCTGGGAAGTACGGAATGTTCCTGAATTTCTTCATTCTGATCTGTTTAGATACTTTCTTCGAGCGACGATCAGCAGAAGGCTGAATGATATCAGTAAAGAGATGGATATTGTCGTGCAGACGCTGTGCACGTATCCAGAGGTCAACTCCTCCATCAAGATGGAAGTAGGAATTGAAGATTGTCTCCATATTGAGTTTGAATACAACAAATCCAAGTGAGTATCCATGTTGTACCATTAATATAAATTAAAATAGTAAGATTCACCAAAATGTTTGACACAATTAACCCCAAAAATGAAAATATATTATATTGTGTATAATTATATATAGTTTTTTAATTAAAATTATATTTTATAATGTGCAATGAAAATGTTTTAACATTTTATGATCTTAAATTTCATTACAATTTTTTTTTTTTTTTTTACACACACACACACACACATATATACAGGTGCATCTCAATAAATTAGAATGTCGTGGAAAAGTTCATTTATTTCAGTAATTCAGTAATTCATGTGAAACTCGTGTATTAAATAAATTCAATGCACACAGACTGAAGTAGTTTAAGTCTTTGGTTCTTTTAATTGTGATGATTTTGGCTCACATTTAACAAAAACCCACCAATTCACACGAGTTTCACAATTTGAGTTGAATTACTGAAATAAATGAACTTTTCCACGACATTCTAATTTATTGAGATGCTCCTGTGTGTGTGTATATATATATATATATATATATATATATATGAGTCATAGTTATATTTCTATAGTTACATAATAACAAACATTACGGTAAAAAAATGTGCTTATTATTTTATAAAGAGATGCAATTGTGTGTATGTGTGTGTGTAGATGGATA